GTTAAAAATAAAAAAAAGTAAAAGCATTTTAATAAAAAGTGCACAAAAAGCTCAAGCCACTGAGAAATGTGAGTTTCTGCAACAGAAATCTCTTAGATTCCAATTTAGATTTTTTTTTTTTTTTTTTTTTTTTTTTTTTTTTTTTTTTTTTTTTTTATAACATGAGAAATTGGAAGTGAATGTTCTCTAGGGGGCTGTAAAGCAGTTTTATCTGCCAACTGAACATATCCAACAAATTAATTGAAGCCCGGCAACCCCACTGTTGTTACACTGACAGACTTACTTGTCCTTTCACTTATTTTACACAGGTGTAACTCTCTTGATTTCATTGGAATTACTCTTGATTTACATCATACTAACCTTGGTTTTCCACTAGCTTGCACCTTAGAACTCTCCACTCCTTCATGCTTTAGGTAAGACTTATACCCATCTTGGACCCAGAGCCATATCTTCTGATCCAACTAACCTGCACCTGGTACCAGAGTCAATGAAGTAAGAGTGGATGATCCTGGTACTGGACCTCCACAAACACTAGAGTGGCCGGATAGCTTCCTGCCCCAAAAACCTGTTTATGACACCCAGAAATCACTAGGACACAGCAATACTTTAAACAAGCCCCTGATCCAGAGGTCAAGAAGAAAAAAGATTTAAGAACTGTTAAAATGGCTCTTTGCAGCCTAAGGACTGTCCACAAAGCCAGATCAATCAACTGCATGGTAAAAGCACCATAAAAGCAACTGAATCAAGTTCTTGCCCACAAGGGGAACTGACCACTGCAAGGTAATAAATTTTGTACAGTGTAATAGAAAATTGAAATTAGTTAATTCTACAAACTTGGAAAGAACAGTATCCTGTAGCAGAAGATGTATATACTCTTGTGCATATATGTTTATGTTCCCATTTTTGTTATATTTCCATTTAACTATATTTGAAATAAAAACTGAGCTTTGTACAGATACTCCATGCCAATGCTCCCTCTAAGGAGCAGCGGTCCGTGAGCATGCCGCCTAGGTCCGTGAGTGCACCGCCTCGGTCCGGCGTGGGACACTTATCAAAGGGGGCTGAGGGCTGGGGGCCAGGGGCTAGAGGCTGGAGCCAAGAGGCTGGGGCCAGAGGCCGGAGCCGAGAGACTAGGTGCCGGGGGCTGGGGCTGGAGGCTGAAGCCAAGAGGCTGGGGACTGGAAGCTGGAGCCGAGACGCTGGGGCCAGGGGCCTGAGGCTAGAGCTGGGGGCTGGAGCCGGAGCCGAGAGGCTGGGGGCTTGGGCCGGAGCCTGGGGCTGAGGACCAGGGGCTGGAGCCAGGAACCAGCATGGGCTCTGCTGGCTCCGGGGAAGTGCTCCACTCTCCCGTATCACGGCCGGGGAGTGGAGCACTTCCCTGGAGTTGGCGGAGCCCACCACAGCCTCCATCCCTGCCTTGCCTCACCTCGGGGACGAATCACTGCCTGCCCCAGTGAGGCTCTGCTGGCTCCAGGACACTGCACAGCCACGCATACGCGCACCTTAGAGGGAACCTTGCTCCTTGCTTAATGTCGTGGTTACATTCTTGACAAATGCAACTTTAAGTGAAATGATGTTAAGAGAATCCAATTACATCACAGTAGTTACGTACTAGCAGGTGGCGGCCAAACGTTATAACCGAACACTGCGCGACTTTAAATGAATTTGTTCTCTAAGAGATCAACGACATAATAACAAAACAACATTAACTGGGACAACGTTAAGTGAGGAGTACCTGTACTAAATGACGGTACTGAACTTAGAAGTGGTTTGGGATCCCCAGCTCACCACAGAATTGAAGCAAGTTCCAGTCAAGGTTTTGCATAAGACAAAAGTGCACACCCACAAAATACAAAGTGGCGGGTGTACTATAACCTCTCTGAACTCTAGAACATAAGTCTTCATTTAAAGCTGTAGCAATCCTCCTGCTCCCAGAAAGTAAATTCCCAGCACCTTCCCATTTCTCTGCAAATTGCAGCATTTCCACCTTTATTAATCTTGACTGGGCATTAGGCCTGGCCCTTTTGTTTCACTATATTTTTCAAATATATGTAAGCACAGAGGGGGACTTGGGCATTAGTTTTCTAACCGGTATGAACATTTAAAAAACTTATCTGGTCTCCACTCTATCTGGACTGTGTTCTTCCTACTCCCCCACCAAACCTAATCATTGAAGTGGAGAGAAGTGCTCCCAAACTTCTAACATAAATCCCTAACATACATGCAGGGTTTAATGACTACTCTTCCTTCACTTCCTTGTACACAGAAAAAATACTTTTTTTATGTAGAATAATAGCTTTCAGCACTGATCTGGCAAGGGAAGAAGACATCACTAGGATACAAAACGTTTTTTTTTTAAGAGTAAGCCTCATGATTTTACATTTGTCTACTCATATGTCATTCCATAACATCCTAAATTGCTTTACAAACATATGTAAGTAGTAGACAGTAATCACTTACAGTCTCCCCCAGGATGAAATAACTGCTAAAAAGTCAAGATCAGAGGGTGAATGAGAAGATCATCACCGGAGGGAGCAGCAGAAGTAAAGAGTAGAACAGAAAGTCTGAATTTGATCTCCCTCAATGTATAGGAGTAATTACAACGGACTGTAATCTCTTCAGGGAGAGGACGATATCTTTAGACATTGACTTGCATGGTTTGGGCACTACAAGAATACAAATAACAATAACGTCAGTGAAGTTTATGTAATCTTCAGAGGCACCTGTACAGTTGTCCCTAATTTAAGTGAAATCAAAATGAGCCCAGACTATAACTGGCTCACTTGGAATCTGACCAGGAAACTAAGTTTTACATGTTGTTTTTAAAATATGTAGTCACCAACTCAGCATTTTTTCTTTTTCTAATGTCATCTGAAGCATTGATCCTTCAGCAGTGTGACTCTAGCATAGTACTGAAGCACTAGAACAGGCCAAATTCTTTCCTGGGGTGTACATAAGCAGCCCCTACTGAAGTCAATGAGAAAAGCATGCATTCAAAAACACAGTTTGACCCTAAATCACCGATCTCACTTCCTAAAGAATTTAAAGAGTTATTTGAGGATCAGTACAGAAGTGACCAAATTTTGTCTGGATTGCAAAGTCTAACAATATCACAATATGAAGTAAAAATCTAAGCAGTTGTCTATATTTGTCAGAGTTATATTACTAGTATATGATTATATATAATAAAAAGTTCATCCAACTTAATTCATCACACACATGAATGACTCCACGCAAATAGAACAGACACACTTCTCAGTAACTTTTGTGGGTGACCACTGACTGACAGTAACCCCATGTATCAGCTTTATATAAGCACGTATACACACACACACACACACACACACACACGTGTGTGTATCTACATAGATATATACACACACACACACACGTGTGTGTGTCTACACACACACACGTGTGTGTGTATATCGATATACACACACACGTGTGTGTGTGTGTAGATAGATACACACACGTGTGTGTGTATATATAGATAGATACACACACGTGTGTGTATATATAGATAGATACACACACGTGTGTGTATATATATAGATAGATACACACACGTGTGTGTATATATATAGATACACACACACACGTGTGTGTGTGTGTGTATCGATACACACACACACACGTGTGTGTGTGTGTGTGTGTATACACACACACACGTGTGTGTGTGTGTGTGTGTGTATATACATGCTTATATATATCTATACACACACACGCGCGCGTGCGTATATCTATACACACACACGCGCGCGTGCGTATATCTATACACACACACGCGCGCGTGCGTATATCTATACACACACACGCGCGCGTGCGTATATCTATACACACACACGCGCGCGTGCGTATATCTATACACACACACGCGCGCGTGCGTATATCTATACACACACACGCGCGCGTGCGTATATCTATACACACACACGCGCGCGTGCGTATATCTATACACACACACGCGCGCGTGCGTATATCTATACACACACACGCGCGCGTGCGTATATCTATACACACACACGCGCGCGTGCGTATATCTATACACACACACGCGCGCGTGCGTATATCTATACACACACACGCGCGCGTGCGTATATCTATACACACACACGCGCGCGTGCGTATATCTATACACACACACGCGCGCGTGCGTATATCTATACACACACACGCGCGCGTGCGTATATCTATACACACACACGCGCGCGTGCGTATATCTATACACACACACGCGCGCGTGCGTATATCTATACACACACACGCGCGCGTGCGTATATCTATACACACACACGCGCGCGTGCGTATATCTATACACACACACGCGCGCGCGCGTGTGTATATCTATACACACACACACACACACGCGCGTGTGTATATCTATACACACACACACACGCGCGTGTGTATATCTATACACACACACACACACACACACACACACACACACACACAATATGCTTTTTTAATTCAGTTGTTGGGAGAGCTCACCATCATCACTACACCTGCAGCAAAACCCAAAGGTAGCAATGGAAAAAACATATCTAAAATTCTCTCTTTCTATCAGTAAAAGCAAAAATATTTCAAATTGCTAAAAGCACACCAAATGAGAATTACCTACCCAGCTGCAAATGTTAAGTCACTGCTATATTGTATTGCTTGCTATACGCTAAGGCCATCTCCACAAATACAAAAGAGACTATCAAGCATCACCCAGGGCTGGACCTAAAGACCATTAAAGTATTTCCCAAATGAAGTCAACAGTCTCAAAACATACTCCCAAGCCTCAGTCCTGTTCTTTTAAAGAAAATAGAAATGTGGAACTCTCTCTACAACCCTCCCTTTACTCCCATAAAATATACCAAAGTTTTATAGAAAACTATTACTGCTATAATTTTCTATGTGTTACACTGTAGTTGGATTTTTAGGTTTTTTGTTTTCTTGAACATATCTTTTTTGTTCAATTAATACAGGTAATAAAAGGTGTAAAACCTTACCTGTCCACAAGGAGCATTTTGCAGAGAGAGAGTAAATTTGCCAGACGTCAGGCTTTTTGCCAGAATATATTGGCAGGAAGCTTGAAAAGTGTACTTGCGCCCATCAAATGTCATGAAGTGAATGTCTCCTGAGACAGAGCATTCAGCTGGGAAATAAAAGAGATTAAGTCTTTGAATATGCCACAGAAATGTTTGTTGTAAATACTCAACAGCTTTTATTATTGTCATAGAGATCAATACCTTTACTTTACTTATCAATGCATTCACACTCTGTAATCAAATATTAGCAATATAGAGTGCAGTAGCCCAGCTCAAAAGATTTCTATACAAATATGACCACTAAGCTTCCAAATTGGCTTGAGATCCACTAAAAACCACTTTTCTCAGGAGATTAGCAATCAGTGACCTACAGGCAATATTGTCAGCCTCAACTCTCAGGATTTAGACAGTAAAGGGTTATACAGTTTTGTTGTTGCTTACACATGTTGGTTTGTTTTTTTAAAGATCGCATACACACACACTAAGCCTAAGGTAAAATAAAATGATAAAAGTCGCTATGTCTCAAAAATTGGAAGTGCCAGAATGACATTTAAAGGGAAGGCTTGCTTTGGATATAAGCTTCCTAACCTAATGAGAAGACCTTAAGCTAGGTTCAACAGGGGATGGAAACAAAAGTTCACAGGTAAATAAAGTACACAGTGGCCTGGATGAAGGCTAAGAGGAGGCACTATAGAGAGTCTTAACAATGTTGTACGATGCAAATTACCAGGACCATCCCATAGTTATCTAAGATTTTTATATACTAATGCAAGTCATGAAGCATAAGCAGGAAGAAATGGCATAGCAAGTACAAATAAAAAATTATGATCTAATTGGAATCACTGAGACTTGGTAGGATAGTTCATGATTGGAATATTGTTATGGATGAGTTATACCTGAAGGGCTGCCATAAGAGAAAAAGGGAAACACCCCTTGTTACTGGGGATTATAGGTAGTTATGAGTCAACAGGTCACAAGGTAATTATGAGTCAACGGTGAGCTTTTGTTGCAAAACAAACCAATAGCATACTGGGATGTGTTAACAACTGTCACACGGAAATTATGGGAAGTGATTCTTAAGCTTGAATCAATACTGGTGAGACCTCACCTAGAGAACCGTGTCCGATTTTAGACACCATATTTAAAGAAAGACAGAACAGAAAAAATATTAGAGCTCTAGAAAGCATGGCATGAGAAAATTTTGGAAGAAATGGGATTATTTAGTACAGAGAAGGGAACAGTAAGAGAGAATGTTATAGCACTCTTTATATACATGAAAGACTTATAAAGAAGATGATGACAGATACTCCCTGCATCCACAGGGGGCAGGAAGAAACAGTCTTAAACTGAAACAAGTGACATTTTAGGTATATTAAAAGGAAACTCCTAGGTATCAGGGCAATTAGGCAATGGAAATATTACCATATTTATTCAAATACTAAGACAAAGTCTCCCCCACCCCCAGTCAGCATGGGGGGGTGGAAAAAAAAAAATCACTCATCTTACGTTCGCATACAAGGAAACCTCATTAAATACATTGTCTATCATTAAACTGCTGATAAAAGCAGCATGTGCTCAATAATGGAAACCAAGTATGAAGCCAATTAAATGCCACCAACACTGAGTGCGACTAAAATACATGGCCCATATTGGACACATACTGATAGGAACATTTATGTATGTGTGAGTTTGTGTGTGTGCACGTGTGCATGTGTCTCTTAAAAAAGAAAACATGCAGCTGCTTCACCAGGAGGAAACAGACACCAGGCCTGGAGGTACTGCAATACCAGACCAGCACTCAGAGAGGCCAGAGTAAGCTCCAACACCCTCCCCTACTGCCAATAAATGTTGAAGGGAACTTACCACTTTTTTTTCTTTCTAAATTTTGTGTCTCAGGCCAAATTAGTCAAATCAGTTTCAAATTCCATCCACTGAGCAAAGCTCAGTTGTTCAGGTCTGTGTGGTGTTACCACCAGCAAGTATCTTCCTTCCCAGACTCTTCAGCCTAGGACTTCAGATACTCCTAAATCCATGGCAAGCATCCTACATGCAAGCTTCAAGCCCAGAGGGGATGCAGAGAAAAAAATTAGTTTATCTGTAGGTACAGGTGATAGTGCCATGTATAACAAATATCATAGTGCTCTGTAAGGCCATATGGAACAAAATGAGAAATGCAACTGTTTTTAAGGTTACTTTAATATCTATCCTTCTGTGTTTGTGCGAGTGTGTTTGTATGTAAAAGTGTATATATGTGAACACTGTATAAACATATTTTAATAAGATTTCTCATTAAGGGCAGCATTTGCTTGTAATTAATCATTAACAGGTTTAAAAACTAAGGTTTAGAATATAACACCAGTTCCTTTAGACATACCTGGACAGGTAAGATTTGTACAAATCCACTTTCCTCCAATGCAAGTACTGAAATTAAAAAAAAAAAAAAAAAAAAAAAAAAAATCAAAAGTTGATTTTTTTTTTAAATATATTATTTTAGAAAAAAAATGTAGAATGTTGTTCCTTACCTCCACTCACTTGTTTTCTGCTTCATGGAGAAATCACCAGAGACATTTGAAAGTCTCTCAAAAACAACAGAGAGAAATGTAATGTTGCAGCAGCAGGCATGCAGTGACCATATCCAGAAATTGTGGGCAGTGGTGGGAAGTGGTTAAAAGTGGAGACATGACAGGATGAAATCCCATCTGTAACTGTGCATAAAACTTCCACAAAATCTAGAACTAGTCTTGCTTTTTTGTCTTTGGTTGTTTACTAGTGAAACTAATAATGACTGAGCCCCAAAATGTCAAATAAATTGAGTTTTGATTTAACCACTTTAAAATATGGACATTTATTCATTCAAATTTCACTTGAGCTTCTAGGAGGCTCATATTAGGCTGGGAATCTCATAAAATAGCTCACAGCACAATGGCACTTGCTCTTCATTGTATACTGAGAAGTTATGAACATAAAGAGATACAAACATATAAAATAATGGCAAACAGTTATTCTTCCTTCCTCATTCCCCAGCACTTGGCATTTTGTACTGGATTTAGTTTGAATCTAAGGGAAAAGCTGAGGTCAACTCTTGATCACCTCTCCTTACTAAAAGCAATACAGCACAATTCTACTAAAAATATCAAAACAAGACTGAGTTTTAAAGAAGAAGTCTCATTTTCTGTGCTTCTTGGTTCATACTCGCTAAAAAGGTAGTTAAGGAGCTCACACTAACTCTAAATATTAATATTGTTAGGCTCCTCTGAACAACTGAAACAGCAATGAGAATTAACTAGCACTTGTTGGCTATGTAATATTATTTAAATAGTCACTGTAGATTGGGAAACATAGCAGAAATGTAATGACATAGCCAGATGCCCAGGACAGCTGCCACACACAGGGCCCTATCTTCCAGTTGCCACCACTCCACATGACGAAGGTTGTGATCGCATGGATATGGGAGCAGCTGCTTCTTTCTATCTGCCCTCTGGGCCTTGACCCCACATTTGATGCCCAGAGTAGCTGCTTTAGTTACTCTGTCCTCATTATGCCACTGTGTTATAGCTCAGAAACTGTTGATAACAGGGTACTTGCTGTATCTATTACAGGGGCGGGCAATTATTTCGGGAGGAGGGCCACTTACCCAGTTTTGGCAGGCTGTCGAGGGCCACATGGGTAGCCCTGCCCCTTGACAGGTGCCCCACGCCTTGACAGGTGCCCTGTCCTCTGGTCACCATCTTGAGACCAATGTCGCAATGTCTTGGGACCAATAGCCCAGGGCCAGCACCGGTGGGGCCCAAAGTGGGGCACAGGCTGGCAGGGGTCCATGGAGCTGGGCTGAGCTGCACCAGCAGGGAGAGGGGGGAGCTGGCCTAGCTCCATAAAGTCCCTGCCAGCTGGGACCCCACGCTCCTGCCACCCTGCTCTGGGCCCCATCGGCACTGACCCCGGGGCACTGGTGCAGGCCCCATGCTCCCACTGGCTCCCGGCCCACTCACACCCAGTTCCCCCCAGCCCCACAGTACAGGCAGGGGGGCAGAGCACAGCCCTGACCCCCTGCTTGCTGGCAGGGAAGAAGCTGGTGCTGAATGCAGGGAAAAGCAGCCCCTCACCCACCCCATGGCCAGCACTCCCTGCTGCAGGTGTCTGCAGCACACATGGGGCTGTCTGGAGCAGCTACAGGCAGTTCCAGGTGGGCTACAAGCAGCTGCAGCATGAGGCACCGGCCACACGGTGAGCAAGGGGCCCTTCTTCCCCACGCTCAGCACCAGCTTGTAACTGGGCTCCGCTGCCAGCCTGGCAGTGGGGCCAGGTTACAAGGTGGTGCTGAGTGGGGAGGTAGGGGGGAAGCAGCCCCTCGTCCGCCCCATGCCTGGTGCCCCACACGCCAGCCACTCGCATGTCACCTG